CCATTTTTCTTATTACCTCTATGAAGAAACACTTCCCCATGTGGTTAGTCTCCTCTGGTCATGATTTTAAGATTAAATGGATTTTAAGTAAATGGACTACACCTCTGGTTTCAGTTTCTCATACCAATCTGACCATTCCAAACAGCAATGGTGCGAATAATGGACATGTACTTTCAGAAGTGAGCAACAAACAAGCCAGATTGTAAAAAAAAAAAAAAAAAAAAAAAAAAAAAAAAAAAAGCTAGCCATAAATCAACCCTTCACTCAATTGAATACAGGACCATCAGTACCCTCCCTGGGAATGCCTGATAGGTTGAGAGTAATAAATCTTTCAAGACGTTGGCAGTTCCAAAGTGAAGCCGGACCAGCTCATCATAAAGAAGTCCTAAAGCTTTCACTGAAAGACACTGTGGCCCAATAGAAACTTAACAGCATGATCTATTGCCATTTGATATGTCAGAGAGCATTATTGTCTGCTATTTCCTGACAATGACTTTCCTCTTCACACTCACTGACCCCAGTTTCCTTCAGAAAGGTCAGGCAAATTCCACTCACCCGGGCTCTCCTTCCTTCCTCTGTACTATCAGCAGCCCTCTCTCATTGCTTCTGTCAAAACACTAGTCCAGTTTGTCAATCCTACAATGCCCATAAGATCTGACTTCTTTCTCACTCTGCCCCTGACACTGTTACCAGATACCAGAGCTGATCATGTCATTCTCCTGACCAAAATTCTATAATTAATATCCCTTCCAACCCTAGGCTCCAGAATAGAGTCCACAGTTCGTCACTGGCTATTAAGTTACTCTAGGACAAAAACAGCTACCAAATGCTAACAATACAATAAAATAAGTCATCTAATCGAAAACTTTGTTCTGGATTATGTCTGTCAGTGCCCACTGGATCTCCTCCTGACATGTTAATGGTCACTGCAACCCTTCTTGCCTCTTAATGGCAGACCAGAATATACCTGTTATGCAGTCCTGATGCCACAATCCCCTCATTTCTCTCACTGCTTGACCTCCACATTACGTCTCTCCACAGTTTGGAATTCAAGACTGGGTCCCTGGAATTCTTCACATCCTGGACCTCTGGTATTCTTATGTTATCCTCTACAGCCTCCCTGCTCAAAACCTCCACTCCAGTGTCTCTGAGCCACCCGTGCTCCCTAAACTAGTCCACCAGTTTAGTACAGATGCTTTCTTACCTCTGTATGTTCCACACTATTGCCTGCCAAGAATTTTCCCTTCCTCCTCTCTCCTGCTCAGTTAGTTCTACAGTTAGTTTTCAAGTCTCAGTATTTCTACTTAGTGAAACCTAAAGACCCAAGCCATTTTTCCCTCTTTCCAACTCCTGGAGATTTAGAGCCCATCACACTCATTTGGAAATGGTCAAGTGGCAGGTGCATATGTCATTGTCTTGTGTATACGTCCTGTCTCTCTTCCCAGTTTTCACTTACTTATAAGCAAGGACCATTTCTTTGATTTGATTACTAATATGGTGCTTTTGAATAGGAGGTACTTGATAAATGTTTTTCTAGAGTTAAATCAATAAATGTTTACCAAGTATTTTCTAGGTGAGTTCCCACTAAACAGTAAAGAGAGTGTGGACAGTAGGCACTTATTAAATGTCTGCAGGTTTTAAATTCAATAATTAATTATTGAACATCAAGTATGTAAATTTATTACTTGAGATATTATAGGGAATTAAAAGATGGATAAGATATAGTCCCTCGCCTCAAGAATTTTGCAATCTTGAAGAGAGCACTGTTTAAAAAAGAGAGAGAAAAGTTACTCATATATGCAATTCTTATTTGAGTTCTCATATATGAGAACTCATAAGAGTTCAGTAACTCAGAGAGAGGTGTCCGGAAATTTTCATGGTCAATAATAAATTATTTATCCCTGGGTTAAAATATATTAATAATCAGTACCAGAATTTCTCTTAGGAATTTCTTTATTTAGAAATAGAATGCAATGAATTCTGTGGGTCTGAAAACATAGGTCCAAGGGCAGGGTCTAGATGAACAAAGCATAATCTGATTGAAACCTTTCTAACTGGTTCTTTCTCATCCTTTGTTATTATTATGGGTAGGTTTTTTTTAATATCAGTATAACACCATATTATTATCAGTTTATGATTATGAATATTAAATCAAATTAATGTATGACAATATTCTTAATAGTTCAAGAATATAAAATGTCTTAAAATTTTGTTACATACCTTGAGGATTCTTGCTTCTAGACTTCTGACTAGGTCTTGGCAAATCCCAGAAACAAAATATTGGTACAATGCAAGGAGAGGAAGAATCTACCAGGAGAAAAACACTCCTTGTTTTAAGATATATTTTATCAAGTTAATAAACTAATAATCAAATTTAGCTAAATATTAAATGTAGGATATGTTATGCAAAGTATTGATTCACTTTCCATGCTAGGAGACTATACTGTTTAGCATAAGTGTGTGCTTCACAATTTTATCAGAATTTTCAGATTCTATCAGAGACTTACAGTTCCAGGTAGATGCCACTTGGTACCCCAAACCTAGATTTCACATCTCTTTAAACACAGAAAAATTAAAACCTAATTAATCATCTTCCTTAAAAAAAAATTAGCTCCACATAAATGTACGAATCACTCAGGCCTGTGGAAAAATTCTAGCAAATGAGCTATCAAATAAAATTTAGAACTTAAAGCAAAGGAACTCACACCCATGTCCCCTAACTACCTCTAATTTATTTATCTCAATGTCAGCTGTTATTTGCCTTTGAATAGAATTTTTTCTATCAGCAAGAAAAACATTTACAACATGCCTAGGTATCATTGAATGAGCACAAAATCTAACAAGTCCCTGCCTTCACAGAGCATATATTCTACTGATTAAAACTCAAGCTTGCTCTTCACATAATATTGTTTATTTTCCTAGAATTAACCCCTCATCTTAATTTTTTTTGAGGTCACATGAAAATATGTCAATGTTTCAACTGACCTAGACATCATCCATCCAGAGAAAGATGTTAAGGGGATGATTTGGCCTAGACATTGGATCAGCTCTTGATCTGAATTCAAACCTGAAGCTCAGTTCCTGCAACTGTATCTCACATCACCAAAGGAAGATGGAGTAAGAAGGGGAATTGGGATCCCCATTATTTAGTAAACTATCTCCCATGGCTCCACAGCTCTAGGTCCCACAGCAAATTTTATATTTGCCAGAAGTCCCCTTAGCCACTGGGCTTCTTCTAATTTTAATGTAACACGCAATGGAAACCGTTTCCTTCTTGCAAGGTCTGCTGGGGAATCTCTAATGGTCAGTCAACTGGCAGCTGCTAATGATAACAGCTTTTAAAAAGGATAAGAACTGCTCTTAAATAGTTTCAAACAAAATACATTACCTTTTCTACAATTAATGCAGCACAAAACATTAAGAGTTGGCAATTACCTTAGAGATTTAGTTTCTTTTCTTTAGTGAGAGATAAAAACATACCATTTTATTGCTGCCAATTGCTCAGTTATTCAGGAAAACATTTTCAATTTCTCAAGCTTTAGAGAAAAAAAAGTCTCATTTCTTTTCCAGTGCAGTGATACGTATTATATATGAATATGACTAGGCAGGTAAAGGTTACACAGGAGACAGAACCATTTTCTCAATCCAGAAATGAATCTCTTCAACAGTGAGAGGAACACCATTTTGCTATTTTTTTTAATAAACAATCTCTTGCCAAATCTGCCAATTGTTAAAAGTATTTATCTACCTCTTCACTTTAACACATGGTTTTATAATTTAACAACTCACATCGGGGGCAATAAATATTTTCAATATAAAGAGAGAATTGAATTTAGAAAAACGAATATGCCAAAAGAGTAAAAAACAATATACAAATAAAAGTAGGTATGAGAATTATGGATGAAAGGGGAAAGGAGCAGGAAATCACATCGGGGGCAATAAATATTTTCAATATAAAGAGAGAATTGAATTTAGAAAAACGAATATACCAAAAGAGTAAAAAACAATATACAAATAAAAGTAGGTATGAGAATTATGGATGAAAGGGGAAAGGAGCAGGAAATGTGAAAATATATATTTAGAAGCAAATAAATGAAAGGAAAGAGATTTTTAAAAATAGAAGAAATAGCATGAAGAAAGAAAATAGACCAAATAAGATAAAAGAGAAAAATATAAAATGACTAACAATCAGAACATACTAGTTTATTTTTTGAATGCAGCTAACTTCAAATTTATGATATATACTGTGATTTCTTTCCCCAAAGGAAAGGAGAGTTATATTTGGACTTTTGGACTTCAAAGGATGCTAAGAAATGTCTGACTTTTATCTCACAGTTAGAACCTGTCGTTCTATTAGACACATTCTTGACAGAGAAAAGATGAGACACAAAGATGAACTTACCTCTAAAGAAATACTCTCATAGTTTTGGTATTGACATGAACTGAACAAATTAATGCAGTGAGTTACAAGTATACTATATTCCTATGTTTGAGATCAGTGACACATTCTAATCAACTTTACCAAATGTCTTCAGAAAAAAAACATATAATAGAGTAAAAAGAGAACAAAAATCAAATAGAACTTGCTTTTGTACTCAAAATGAAATGCAAATAATAGTGTCAAAGAAAGAATATTAACTTGAAGTACAGTCCCCCACTTGATGGTTCGACTTCATAACAGTGCAAAAGTAACACATATTCAGTAGAAACCATGCTTTGAGTATCCATACAACCATTCAGTTTTTCACTCTCAGTACAATATTCAATAAACCACATGAGATTCAACACTTTATTTCAAATTAGGCTTTGTGTTAGATGATTTTGCCCAACCGTAGGCTAATGTTCTGAGTACATTTAAGGTAGGCTAGGCTAAGCTAAGCTATAATGTTTGGTAGGTTAGGTATATCAAATGCATTTTCAACTTACAATATTGTCAAATTACAATGGGTTTATCGGGATGTAACCCCATTATAGGTCAAGTAGCATCTGTATAGATAAGAATCCTAAATATATAGAATTTAAAAGTTAAACAAGAACTGACCCCAAGAACATTAGCAAACTTTAAAAAGTATAAGGTAAGTGGGGCAAAAATACCATTGTGAATTAAGATTTGTTGACTTTACAAATTACTTACTATTAGATTTTGTTTCGCAAAGTGCAGTTCACGTATAACATAGTACAGACTTGCAACTACAGAACAGATGTCAGCCCTGAATCTATCTGAGAAGAGGTCAATGCCTGGGAGAAGCTGAGTGATTTCATACTGAGCATAGCAACATTCAGCTTTGGGATGCGGAAGTGTGGTTCTAAGCAAACCCTGAAAATGAAAAAAAGGTAAAATAAAGAGCTATAAACTGCATTTGCAATGATGAAACAAAAAAAGTAAGTACATGTATTACTTCCTGGAGTGTTTAGTGCAAGCCTAGCACACTGTATTTTGCAATAAACGGTACTTAATCATTAATATTATCATCATTATAGGTTCCAAATGCTTTTATCACTCAAGATGGGCTTTTTAAATTCCATGGTAATTGGATACTTATTATATTCAAAGAAATTATCATTATATTATCATTTGTTGAGGGTGCTGCTGGTAAATTCTTTATAAACATTATCTCATTTAATACTCATTTAACCCACACTTAGAAGGAAGTATTATTATCTCACAAATGATATAATTGAGGCTTAAACAATTAACTTATCTGAGGTCACACTGCTAATGATGGCAGAAAAAAGATTCAAGTCATGTCTATTTAACTCAAAAATCTATGTTCTTTCCACCATACCACGCTATAAGTAGAGGAAATGACAACTTATTTCAGAAGCCTTAGTCAGGCCGTGGCAGTTCCAAATTTTTAACTGCATTAAATGAAAAGATGATCTGTTTAATTTAACCAATATTTCTTGGGTAATTTATATCACCAAAATTGTACTAGATGTTGGGGAAACAAGATGAAAACACAAAACCAAATTTTACATTTAGGAGTATATTTTTGTTATCTTAAATAATTAATATTTCTTGATGATAAATTCATTATAGAATTATTTTAATGTATATATCAGGAAAGAAATTCAATCAGATTATTAAGGTTATGAGGCATCCTACTTTAAAATACTATGTAGCTGTTGAAATTTTTAATTTCACAAATTTACTTTAAAAATCATAAAAAGAATTAAGAGGCTTTTAAAATAAATCTCACCAGCTAATTTTTATTTTAGGTGCAGTATTATTAAGAAATTATGTCCACATTAAGCAAAAAGTTAAATTTTTAAAAAATCACGTATTTTCTAAAATATAAGCAGCATTATCTTCAAGAACCAGGAGTATGAGACAGTAAAGAATGCAGTAAAAAAGTTAGACTCAGATATTCATTCCCTTTGCATTCTTGCCTTTTCACACCTCTGTCCTTTGAAGCACAAGCAAGAGGCATATGGAAAACAAGAAAATTAGGGGAGGGGAGAGAGGGAGGAGGGAGGGAGGTGTCGGTGATGGGCCATAATAATCATATACATTGTATATTGACAAAATAAAAATTTAATGAAAAAAAAATAAAAATAAAAAATAAATTTCCCAACACACACACACACAAAAAAAAAAAAAAAGAAAAAGAAAACAAGAAAATTAAAAAGTCTGGCTGAGATGAAACTAGCCAAAAAAGAAAAAAAGGAAATTGAAATGTTGGCCTTACATTCAGAGAACACTTTCCCAAAGAACTTATCTATTTAGATTTTATAAGCCATCAGACTCCTCTGATATACAGAACAAGGGTGCCCATCCTTCAAAGTAAACAGAATCTCTAGTACACTGCAAAGGCCTTTAGCTACATTCCAGAATCTCAAAATGTCTTATATTTTAGATAAAAGCTCCTTTCTTCTTCAGTGAAATCAAACCAAAATCCTGAGAACTGCGAACACATCTCTTCTATAGTCTTCAACTTATTTCTTGCCTTCATTATATGATATATTTTATATCATGTAACCAAGCAAAACTTTATTTAGAAGTGAGGTAACCTGGGCCGGCCCGGTGGCGCACTGGAGAGTGCGCCGCTTGAGAGCACGGCCGCGCTCCCGCCGAGGGTTCAGATCCCATGTGGAGACCGGTTCCCGCTCACTGGCTGAGCGAGGTATGGGCGCAACACCGAGGGTTGCGATCCCGTTGCCGGTCTCCGGTACGAGCGCGACACTGAGGGTTGCGATCCCATTACCGGTCAGTAAAAAAGACAAAAAGGAAAAAAAAAGAAAAAAAAAAAAAAGAAGTGAGGTAACCTAAGACAACCATTTGGAGTCAAACAGACTGGCTTCACACTGATCACTAGTAAAATGATTTTATTAATGACAGGAGACTCAGTTTCCCTATCTGTAAAACTCCTGCAGTCTAAAGGAGAAAACAACTCTGCTGAATATTAAAGGTGAAGGTCAGCCAGCAAAGGAAAGATGGGCTTGTGACATTTAATCAGGGTTTGTTTTATGAATATGATAAACTACTGCCCCCCCACCTCTTTTTTTGGTGGCTGGCCGGTAAGGGGAACTGAACCATGGGCCTTAGTGTTATCAACACTGTGGTCTAACCAGCTGAGCCAACCAGCCAGCCAATTGCCCTTTTTTCACTGATTGGATTAATGGTTGTGCTACTATAGAGAAACATACATAACATGTCATGTTATGTTACCTGAAAGAGTAACGCAGACAAAATGCAGCAGTTGGTTCTCTTTCTAACGTTCAATTTCTTAATAAATCTAAATAAGTATAAGAAAAATAAACTGATTAGTAGACAATTTTCCAAAAATGTTTTGATATAAATATGTCTTTAGATACACAAAACATAAGGAAATATCTATGTAAGTATATAAGAAAAATGTAAAAAAGAAAATAAAAAATCACCTGTAATCCTACCAATGAAACATGATTATTGGTAACATTTTAGTCAATTTTCTTCTAGTTTTTTTTCTATATGTAGTTATACACACATAGAAACACATACACACATGCATCCATATTAAGAATACAATTATGCAATACATATTATAAACAAATTTTTCATTCATAGACATAATGAACTACATCATTATTTTAAGGAACTTTAATATTTTATCATATAGATGCACCATAATGTAAAAATATTAATCTCCATTTCAGTTTATTCCAATACTGAGGTAAACATTGTTGTACCTACACTTTCGAGCACTTACCTTATTAGTTGCACTGGATAAATCCCTAGAAGTAGAATTTTTTGGTAAAAGGAGGTGCACGATTAAGGCTTTTGATGCGTATGGTTAAATAATTCCCCCCAAAGATTAAAGTATTGTATTTTCTCTTCAGCTATATATTATGGAGCCATTCACAACATTAAGTATCACCACCAAAGATTAATGTCTCTCCATTTACTACTGTCTCATTTTATGTTCCTTAGAAGAGTTTAAATTTTCTTTAAATGGGTCTCGAAATTTGCATTTGCAAACTATAAGCCACATTACCTTCCCCTAAGTCTTATATTTAGATAAAACCAGTCAGCTTTACTACATTTATAACATCTATCTGAGTTCAGCTTCTCTGTGTGCATATTCTAGTGTGACATTTCGCAGTGGGGAGAAGAGTTCCCTCTCCTGAAGAGAGTCTAGGAGAACAGCCAAAGTCCCTGTTGACTTATCTCCTGTGAAGGCAGACTTCCAGCTGGGTAACCAGGAAATGACCTTCTGTTGGTCGAAAAGCAGCAAGCAATGAAGTTACTACTGTAACTTCGGAGGCTAGGAGAAGCTGGGTGCCCTCTGGCAGGAATGCTGTAGCTTTTCCTTTCCAACCTGTGAAACTTCCTCAGCTTTTTTGTTCCCAAGTTCTACTAACTCATAAGCTCAGACTTGGGAGGGGGAGAGTGTGTGTGTGTGTGTGTGTGTGTGTGTAAGTCTAAGGATAAATTCCATCCTGGGAATGCAAAAAATCATACTTGACAGAGGTTTAAAATCTATGATGCTTAATACTTCTAAAGTGGTCATTTCTTACTTCCCCTGCCTGAAATGCTTATTTTCTGAAAACAATGTGATTATTTGCTAAAAAAAATAAAGGAGATTTGTTTGCTTTTTAATTTGCTCTACTGTTCAAAATATTATGCAAGCTTTTCTCACCACACCCTATAGGTAAGCTAAAGAAGTAACTGGAGAGGTAAAAGAAACCAGAAACTCTAGTCTCTCCATACTTTTTAAATTTCTCACATTAATCAAATATTTAAGATATTTGTGAGTGCTAACTATGTATAAGCCATTGTGATAGATAGTCACATATGTGTGAATGTGTGGTAAACTGAATAATGCCCCCCCCCAAAAAAATCCACATATTAATCCCCAGAACCTGTGAATATGTTACCTTACACAGCAAAAAAGACTTTGCAGATGTGATTAAACTAAGAACCTTGGATGGGGAGATTATCCTGGGTTATCTAGGTGGGTCCAACATAATCATAATTGTCCTTGTAAGAGAGAGGCAGGAGGGTCCGAGTCAGAGAAGAAGTGAGGACACAAACGGAGGTCAGAAACAGAGAAAGAAAAGAAGATACTAGGCTGTTGGTCTTGAAGACAGAAGATGAGGCAGGAGGGTCCGAGTCAGAGAAGAAGTGAGGACACAAACGGAGGTCAGAAACAGAGAAGGAAAAGAAGATACTAGGCTGTTGGTCTTGAAGACAGAAGATGCAGCCATGAGCAGGAGGTTTCTAGAGGGTGAAAAAGGCAAGGAAGCAGATTCTCTCCTATAGCCTCTAGAGGAAGCACAGCCCTGCCAACAGACTGATTTTACAACTTCTGAACTCCATGATAGTAAAATAATAAATTTCTGTTGTCTTAAGCCACTAAATTTGTGGTAATTTGTTTTAGCAGCAACAGGAAACTAACATAGTATGCAGGTACTTCAAAAAGTTCATGGAAAAATAGAATTGAAAGATAAAATGAATCTTTCCATGAACTATTTGAAGTACTCTCATATATGTTATGGGCCAATTTGTGTCCCCTCAAAATTTACATGTTGAAGTCCTAATCCCTAGTAATCTCAGAATGTGACTGTCATGGGAGATAGGGTCTTTAAAAAGTGATTAAGCTAAAATGAGATCATTAGGGTGGGTTCTAATCTGATACGACTAGTGGCCTTTTAGGAAGAGAAGATTAGGACATCGATATGAACACAGGGATAACCACGTGAGAGCACAAAGAGAAGATGGCCATCCACAAGCCAAGGAGAGAGGCCTCAGAAGAGAGCAATGGGCCAACACCTTGATCTCAGACTTCTCGCCTACAGAACTGTGAGATGATAAATTTCTGTTGTTTAAGCCACCTAGTATGTGGTACTTTGTTAGGGCAAGCCTAGCAAACTAATACAGTACATCATGTAATTCTCACCACCAGGATTTACAGATGACACTGAGACTCAGAGAGAATGAGCAACTTGTCAAGGGTCATAGGGTTACTAGGATGCCCTTGAATTAGGCCCAAGTCAACCTGCCTCCCACAGTTATTCTTGCTCCCATACCAACTGTTCATTCACTCATTTGTTCATTCAATAAGTAGTCATGGGAAGCCAACTCCACGCTGGGCACTTGGGACCCCTCAGTGAATAAAGCAACGATCTGTGCCCATGTGGTACTCCTATTTGGGAGGTCGGGGGGTGGGAGGTGTTATGGGAAGAGGAGATGGTTATGAACAATAAACATCACAAACAAGTAAGCTGTACAACCCTGTACGACATGGACATAACTGTCCAAGAATGCAGCACATGGGGGGCATGGCATCCTGCATCGCACAAGGTGGTGCCCCACAGAGGAAGCCAGCAGCTACCATGGGATCATCACACCGTCACACTCACTGTGCTATCTTTGCTGATATGACTGCTCCTTGCAAACACCCCCAAATGCCAGCTTTTGATAGAAATTCCTCACTGTAGTCTTTGGAACCCGAAGGTGAGTAGCCGTTGGTGGTGTCGGTGAGGGGGGTGCCAAGCTCTTTCCATGTATGGAGCATATCTGGTTTTCTGAATATGTCATCAAGAGCTTGACACCAACACTTAAAAGCAGCCCTAAAAGAAAAACAAAGCATCAGCAGTATGTTTTCTGAGACCTGTTATTAAATCTATCTTCCAAGAGGGAAAGCAAATACACTGAAGGAACATTTCCATCACCATATTAGAGAATAAATCTACACCATTCAGTGCTCATAACAGTTTCTCTCAGGTAGCATATGATGAATAAAATTTATCATTGTGGTACAACTGAAGAACTGAAATTTATGCAAGACAATATCTTTTCACGTTATTAGGAATTTTACCAAACAAACAAAATGTTTGCCTTGTTCTACTGATTCCTAAAAATCTACCTTTCCTTATGCGCGAAGACGAGAAGACTTCCCAGAGTGTGCAATGCTTGAACTTTAAGACTTCTTTGATTGCTGGCTTGGAGAACGTCTGTATTTTTAATCAAATAAAAGAATAAATGTCAATTCCTTAAAAAATTTCCTTTATATTGCAAGCATATTTTAAATTGCATTATTCCTTAACTGTGTAGACTGCAATAAGCAAACTGCAAGTTAATAGTGCCTTCAAATGCCACACATTATGTATACACAGAGAGAGAGCAAACAGTGTTCTGTGTGAACACAGAGGAAGGCATGATTGGGTCTAACAGACAGGAAACACAAAGCCTTCATGGAGAAAGTGGAATAAAAGTCAGGCAGTTAGAGATGGTAAAAAAGACAAACTCAGAAAAGGTGGATAAGGGGAAAAGGTATATATGGGAATATAGGGGAATGAGGGGCATGACTGGAATACAGTGTTCCTGGGAGGGTGGACTGGGAGTCTGAAGAGAGACGTAATGCTCAGATGACGGAGGCTTCTGAGTGCCACGTGGAGAAATGTGGCTGTTATCCTACAGCAGGTGGGAAGGCCCCAAGGGTTTGTTTTTTAGCAGAGATGTGATGGTATCACAGCATATCAGATTTTTCCTTTTACCTGAATGCAGAAAACATACCTTTAATAACATGTAAATTTTTTGGTTTTCTGTCTTTTTTTTTTTTTTTTTTTGTGACCGGTAAGGGGATCACAACCCTTGGCTTGGTGTTGCCCGCACCACACTCAGCCAGTGAGCACACCGGCCATCCTTACATAGGATCCGAACCCGCGGCAGGAGCGCCGCTGGCTCCCAAGCGCTGCACTCTCCCGAGTGCGCCACAGGGCTGGCCCAATTTTTTGGTTTTCTAATAAATGCTAGGGATGGGTAGACAAAATCCCAACCCATGTGGCAGTGGCTTCTAATGCGGACAGTACTGTTTCCTAGAGTGTATTTTAGAAATCTGAGGAAAGGTTTTGTTAGTTGTCACATGCAGCATCTCCTGGTAATTTGGAGGTGAAGATCAGGGATACTGGATGGCCTGCAATGCATAGAAACTTCCCCCACAGCAACTAAAGAGATGAGAAACCTATTTATAACTGAGTCTAACATCTAACTTTATTTTACATATAAAAAGGGTATTTTTCGGGCCGGCCCGGTGGCGCACTCAGTAGAGTGCGGCGCTTGGGAGCGTGGCGGCACTCCCGCCAAGGGTTCGGATCCCATATAGAGACCGGTCCGCTCACTGGTTGAGCGTGGTGCGGGCGCGACACC